CCCCCCCCCTCCCCCCATCTTGATAAGAGTTATTTATCTTCCTTTTAAAATACAGAGAATCTTTCATCCAAATATTTCTTTTTAAGAAATAATTCTAAATACCAGATAAAACTGCTCATTTTCAGCAATTTTTATACGTTTTTTATTTTAAAGCAGAGCAGCATATTAATATACGAGCAGCCCTGATTCACGTTCTTGGTGATCTACTCCAGAGTATTGGTGTTCTCTTTTCTTCAGTTCTTATCAAAATATTCGGGGAGTCTTGCAAGGTAAACCTCGAAGTTAAAAATACAAAAAACGTCCTTTAAGATCTTTTCTCCATCGCTTGGCCACAGATCTAACTGAACAAGGAAATTCTTAATAATATTAACCTTTTTCACATCCTGTTAAAATCCAATTACAGGGTTGTATCTTTTCTTGAAAATTGTTTTTTGTTCCGATGTTAAGTGTGGTTGCGCGGAGTGGAATTTTTTTTAGAGTTTTCGTCGCTGAATTTGGGAAAATAATAATAATACACCCTTGGTTAAGAATTTTTTTTTTTATGTTCATATTTATAGATTGCTGATCCGATCTGTACCCTTATATTCGCATGTATTGTCCTGGTTACAACTGTGTCAGTGCTCCGGGATACCTTGAGAATACTAGCAGAGGGAACTCCGAGACGTATCAAATATAGTTCACTTCGGGATGAGCTTCTCCAGGTAGGTTACATCAGTATTAAGGGATGTTCTGAATATGAATAATGAATACATATAATGCGTTGTTTGTGGAGATTTTAAAAAGATTAGTTTACCTCAGGGGTGTATATTTTCTTGGAAAATTATTTCCCCTCCCTTTGAAACCCATCTTTTCCTACAGAATATGTTTGTGCAAAAAAAATTTCAGGGGTTTTCGCTAAATGATGGGTGAAATAAATAAAATTTGGGGTTAAAAGTATCATAAGAATGATAAAACTACCTTTTGATGCCCAAATTTTAGTTTTTCCCCCAAGATCTTCAAAATTCATTTCTCGGAGGGGGGGGGGGTAATTCTTAAAATATACAGTCTACACCCATGGTTTACCATTTCCATTGGCTTATTTAGATGATTTTTATTTCCTTGAGTTGAAGGGGTATATTTTTTCCTGGAATCATATTTTCTCACCTCCTACTAGTAGATAATCAAAAACTTAAGGTGGTTGGTAATCAGCCATAAAAAATTATAATTATTTTTATAGATACCTAACGTGAAAAGTCTCCACGATCTTCATCTTTGGTCACTGACAGCTGACCTGCCTGCTGCATCTGTTCATCTCGGGGTCAGCGTAGGAGCTGATAGGGATCTTATATTATCCAGTGCAAATAAGATTCTCCAGTCTAAATACGGAATCCATAAAACCACAGTTCAGGTTCTTATTTTTATACTTTTTTAAAGAATGCGATTATTTTATTTAGTTTGTTAGTTGATTATTTAAACGGATAAACTGTTGCTTAAAACAGTTAAAGGGACCTGTACGCGTAATTTCAAGTAATCCTACATGCGAAGATGGTAATCCTTGATTAAAAGCTTTGATGAAGTATGAATTAGAAATTAATATTAATAATTTTATGATTTGCACCAAATAATTTAAAATTAAAAAGACAAAAACTTTTGAAAATTTAAATTATTGTCAATTATTGTTTATCTACAACATTTTTTTTTTCCTTTCTACTTGAAGGAGAACATAAAGGAAGTATTGGATTTTAACAAGAGAAAGGTTTCATGAGTATTGTTGTGAATAAGGCACTGCCGTTATCTTTGCATGGAGGGTAACTTGAAATTTAGGCCCTTATATACATTTACCAACTGAATAAAACTAAAGATTAATCTGCAGGAAGGATTGGATTTTTTTCTATACTAGAAGATGTGCCGGGCGTTGCCTGTGGAATTTTAAAAACACTTCAAAAACATATTTGAATAATGAAATTTGAAGAAAAATCGAGTATTTTTAGCCCACGTTACCCCCAGGGTTCCCAACTCGGCCAATTTGGTCTAGACGTTTGGTCAGCTATAGCGAACATATAAATATATATGTATATGAGCGAAAAACTTTATTATATCATATTATATTTTTATGAATGTTTGTATTTAGGTTGAACTGTACAAGTCACAAATATCCTCTGAATGCTTAAAGTGCCAACCCTTGGAATCCTGACCTCAAACTCCGGTCAGAGCAAGAACTCCTCCTACTCAGATATACAAACCCATCAATCATTCAGAGTCATTTCAAGTCAGTTCTCAATCTTCTTGGGACCAAACTGATTCAGACTCCAGTCAAGTTAATATTCTTAGCACTTAATCGGAGTCCCTTTCAAGAGAACCCTTACAAGTCAATTTATGGATCTATTGAGGTTATATCGCAACCTGTATCACAAAAGGTCGATTTGAAACCTGGACCATACAGAGTCTATTTTCTTTTTTAAGATCCATAGTGGACAACACGAAGTCCATTTAGGTTCCCTTGAGACGTGGACCATATAGTGCCCATTTAGGTTCCTTTGGGACCTGGACTACACCGAGTTCATTTTAGTTCCTTTGAGACCTGGACCGCACAGAGTCCATTAAGGTTACTTTGGGACCTGGGCCACACAGAGTCCATTTAGGTTCCTTTGAGACCTGAAACATACCAAGTCTAATAAGGTTCCTTTGAGACCTGAACCACACATAGTCCATAAAGATTCCTTTGAGACCTGAACCACACAGAGTCTGTTAAGATTCCTTTGATACCTGGACTTCACAAAGGCCATTTAGGTTACTTAATACCTAGACCACATAGAATCCATTCAATGTGCCTCTGAAACCTAAACCATGAAGGCACATAAACCATCGAAAGTTTTGAGGTCCAACCAGAGTCACAGCAAATTTAGTCCCTTGAGATTGGACTGCACTGTTGATTGTACACTCGCAGTTACTATAAAACATACAAATGGTACTAATAAATCTAAAACCTAAACCTTAAAGGGTTCCAGGTTTACCGATGTAGTTAATCCTTTAAGGTTTTCATTCCAGTTTTCATATTAAACGTTTTTGAACCGGTTGTGAAAAATTCAGGTTGTTGAAATCAGGTTTACCTTTTTATATCCACTGTGTTATACTCCTTTTTTTTAGGTCACAAAATATTTTTTTTATTGCATATTATAGTTTTACCTGCGTTCTTGAAATGTAGTTACATTAAGTTGAATTTATAACAAACAAAAATCAAATTTTTATCGAAAAGTCAATACTATCGGATTAAAGTTTTTAATATCATTTTTTAGGTTTATGTATTTTTATGGCTTTGGAAAAATATCTTATTATTTTTAGATTCACTTTCTGATTGTTAAAATTAGGAAATTATTATTTGTCGGAATTAGTAAGCATACTACTTAACGTTAATATATTTATTGTATAATATAAACTGTGATCTATAATGGATAATGTTTTTAATGGTTTGTGTATTATACCCCCCCCCCCTGTCTCCCAAAATCACTGAATAAAATGGAAAGTAAATTTTAACCAATGATAAAATGAAATACATAAAGTCATTTAAATCATGAAAAAAAATTTAACTGCTTTTAAATATTTAAAACACAACTTTTTTTGCTTGCTTTTAAAATAATATGTATTTTCCTCAACAAATTCTAAAATTCAAAATGATGATTTTAATCCTAAACTTTTTTATGTTTTTTGTTGTTACTTTTTCTCTGATTTCACTTTTATTGCTCCCGTATAACTTTGTTTCAGTATTTAGAGATCATTTTCAGATAAAATTATCCCAAAACTTAAAAAAAAACTAAGTTATTTTTTAAGTTCTCAAAATCTTCAAATTTTTTTATTCAGCAGGAAAGAACTAGATTGAATCTAAACAAAACTAGAATTATTCGCTTTTTATTCCATACAAATTATAGTGGTTGCTTTGAACAATCATCAATGATTTTTAAATATTTTATTATCATTCGCAAATTTCGAACCCAACTCCAGTTTCGCAAATTTTCGAACCCAACTCTAGTTTACAGAAAAGATATAGTAAACAAACTTAGTTTTTTAAGTTATATCTTGTTAAAAATTTATATGTGAAAGTTCATATATTTACTAGTGATATTTTGTCATTTCTCTACTTATCACATACTTTAATTATGTAATTTAATATTTAGAGAATTTTACTCGATCAAGTTGTATAAACTCTATTGATTGTAAATGTTAAAATTTATCGTAAAAATATTTAATGAATAAAATTTATTATATTCCACGCGTACTTGTCATACAAAAAAAACTACAATGTATTCCAAAAGTGTTTGCAATCTACAATCTACATATTCTGCCCCTCTGTAAAAACAGAACTTTATCCATATGAATAGTTAATACTAGGAAGTAAAGTTGTTGGAAATATCAAACATTGTTGGAAATACCAACATTGTTCCGTTCTAAATCTACAATCTACAATCTACATATTCTGCACCTCTGTAAAAACAGAACTTTATCCATATGAATAGTTATTAGTTAATACTAAAAAGTAAAGTTGTTGGAAATATCAAAACCAACACTGTTCAGTTCTAAATATGTGGAAAATGAAAATTACTTTTTTTTTCTGCTATTTTTCTTAAAGTTACTAATCTAAAAGTATTTGCAGAAAGCAAAAAGGGTCATTTTGCAAAGCTCATTCATTATAAAATAAAAAAAATTGTAGGCACTCAACCTAGGACAGGATTTAAACAATAAGAGAATTGAGATCAGAGAATTGTGTTAAGATGTAAATGAGAGGAAGATTAGCCGGTATAAACACAGATTAGGGTACCCCAAGAAGTAGGGAGGGACTAACTTCTTATCTACAAATAAAAGATGATCTGTGGCGTGTAGGGAGAGTCGGGACGGGGGACTGGAAGGATGAATGGACGGGGTCAAGAGAACACTATTTTGAAAGGAATCATCAACAGAGGCCGTTCCTTCCATAAACTACATTGGTCGACAACTTGACGTCTCCTATATTGGTCGTGAAATGTACGGAGAAATATCTATATCTATCAGATAGGAATTTAGCATGAGACATCTAGCGGCCAACATATCGTCCCCCAAAGTACGTGAAATACACGACCACTTTCTATGGAGAAAACGGGCTCAGTACTCTCATAGGTCCTTCTAGGGTTATACTGAATGAGTAAACTGCCAAAATCTGAACACTATTAGGCCTTTTCTGCCTATTGATTAAATAACAAATTCATGAAGTAAAAGTTGGGCAAGACAATGCTGCCACCGACACTTCCAGGCACACCAAGGTCTGGCTACAGCTCTAGGGCTTCAGTTGCCTACTTTCTTGGACTGAACAGTGAACACACAACAACCTTTTGAGAACCTCAGGAATATTCTCGAGAGAAATCTATTTCAAAATTAAATCCAGTTGGAGAGTAAATACGACCCATAGTATGCGATCCAGAGCCCGTTTTCTCCATAGAAAGTGGTCGTGTTGTACACGTACTTTGGGGGTAGATATGTTGGCCGCTAGATCATAGATGTCTCATGCTAAATTTTATTTGATAGGTAGATATTTCTCCGTACATTTGACGACCAATATAGGAGACGTCAAGTTGTCGATCAATGTAGTTTATGGAAGGAACGGCCTCTGGGGACTTGTGCTGGACTGAATGGGGGTTTGATCCAAGAACTGACCTTAATGGCCAGGAGACTTTTAACGGAGGCCATGTTTATGGAAAAAAGATTTTTAAGAAATTTTTTATTCCATTCGTTTATGATATTATGCCCGTAAACAAAATTTTTGTCTGAAACATCACGTTTAAGAGCCATTTGAGCAATCTGCAAACATTTTCGGTTCATCACATTTTAAAGCTCTGATGACAAAACCTATTTTTTTCAAAAACCGTTGTCAGAAATTTTTGTTTTTTTGTTCTGTCACAGAAAGAGAAGTATAAATTTAAAACTTTTACATCATCAATGATTTTAGGCTTTAACAAACAACACATTAATATTCAATTTGAGGATTCTAACACTTGTGGGTCGTACTGTAGTGTTTTTTTAAGCTCTGAACGGCACAATTGCGGCTCCATAATTTAATTAATTGGAGGAATCTATCTGGTAGGTAAATCAAATTTTGAATCGGTAGTTCCCATAATATAACATCTCGAAATTCTAAATTGTCATCTATTTATAACCATATTGTCTTCTAATAATAACTAAATTAGAAAAAGTTATGAGAAGAAATCCCCCAACCTCGATAATAAATTATTGTTAAACCATTTACAGTAATAACCAGAAAACTGTAAAATAAGAATACAATATTAAAGCTATACTGAAGTGCGTAAGATGTTGTTAAAAGCATATATACTTTGAGTTATTAAATCACTTATTAAGTGAAATGGGTCTCTACACTGCACAACTGTTGTGCCTCATTTTCATAAGACTCTTTTTAATTACTACCTTTTTAATTACTACCTTTTAAATTACTACCTTTTTAATTACTACCTTTTTAATTACTACCTTTTAATTACTACCTTTTTTATTACTACCTTTTTAATTACTACCTTTTTAATACTACCTTTTAGATTGAATTTAAAGTTTTTTTTTCGCAATACATAGCGAAATTTCACTTCTGCATTAGTGTTAGCCATATTTGAAACAGTATGAATTATAGCAGTATTTTAAGTACAGAGCAGAGGCCCTCAGGAGTATGCGGGGAAAATGGACATTATCACACCCCGGAATTTCACTTGGAAGAAGTTTCTCAAGACAACATTCTTTATCCGGACCGGCCGGCCTTAAACCACCAGAGCTGAGACCGAATTTAAAAAATTTAAACATGGTTTTTTCAACTTAAAATTTTAATCAGTGTTAAGAGATTTTAGCCATCGAGCAATTTGAACTGATGATTGACGGTTCATCGAAACGGTTCAAATTCATCAAATTCGGCCTCTGGTCGCGAGGTCTCAAAACATTTGGAGGATTGGTTCAGCCGTTTAGACTTATTTTCTGATCCTAACTAGATTGCTAGCTCTGTGGTCAGATTAATACAAGATATATGACGAATACTGTTTTTAAACTTATTCCATAATTGTGTAGTTTGTTTGTTTGTTATTCAGATGACAACAGTAACTGTTTTTATCTATTCTTATATATATATATATTCAGATATAATTGATGAAAATTTGTTTTTAAAAGGAGAAACCGAATGAAATAAAAATAATGTAAGAAAAGATAAAAAAAACTTTAAAATGTCCAAAAGAAAAAGAAATAAAAAGAGAAACGTAAAGATATTATACTGCCAACAAAGTAATTATTATTTTTTAAAAAAGAAGAAACTTCTCTCCCTATTTCTAATAATAATATTAGTTTTTTTGCTGGCCTTTCTGCAACCTTCTCTTGTTCATTAAATTAATAAAATTAAAAATATGACGGGCGGGAGTTTCCTTTTTTTATTAGAGGATTTTTTGTGTTAGTAATTTTCTTAAATTTCAACCAGCCAGGGAAATCCTTTAATGGACCCGATCGGTTCTGTAGTTTTAGTCTGTAAAAGAAGAATAAAATATCTGTTATAATCAAGGTTATAATTCAAGGAAAGTTAATTGAAGTTGCGTATATTCTGCGTACCTCTGGGCGAAATTTGTAAACAAGAATAGATGCATCAGTGTTCGTTTAGTATCCGAGGAGGTAAAAAGCATTAAATTTTGATAATTTTGATAATTCACATAGTAGTTTCCTATGACAAGAATATTTCATTGATTTTTATGTGAAAAATGGATCCCATGTCAGGCTTCCACATCCGTCTTGTGTTTACATTACCGCTCAGAGACAGTACACTGCAGTACTAAAGATGCGTACACCTCTGAAATAACTTTCCTTGCATTATAACTTTGATCTGTAGGAAGATATGTATACATATTAGTGTAAAATATATTTTGATATTTATCTAATATCCCAGGTTATTATTACATATGTTTATTGTAAGTATCCAGGGGATTAGGAACCGCGGCTCCTCCTTTAAACCAACCCACGCTCTCTACCCCCCCCTTTCCTCAACCCTCCTTCAAGAGCCCCCCTAGTTCTTGGAAATATTAGAAACTGGTTTGCTGGTGTAGCCGGAGACCGGTCAACTTGGTAAATGATCTTGAAGTTGAAAACTATATTTTTATTATTTATTATATTTAATCTTTATTATATCAGAACTGTCACAAGTTTGGAACCATTAGTAAAAATATAATCTTTGATTTTAGGCAGTGCTGGTATCTTTAAAAGAAAAAGTTTTCCAAATAAACAGAGAGAATATTTTCTCGATAATTCTTTAAAAAATGTGAAAACAACATTTTTAGGCACGTACGTAGGACTAGTAGTACTAGGTACGTAGTACAGTATACACTGTACACTATTCACTGTACGTTGCACGTACAGATATCTTTTTTGTGCTTTTTGATATTTTTTTAAGTAAATGATTCGTGGAATTATTTTATTTTAGGAATCTGTGAAGATTAATAAATCATTAA